CTGCTCCCAGTGAGGGCCTAACCGACAGACATTTGTTGTCTCAGTGCTGGAGTCCGCAAGTCCGAGGTCAAGGTGTCAGCACCTTGGCCCCTCTCCTTGGCTGTTCTCCCTGTCTCCTCACAGGTCTTCCCTTTGTGCGTGGCTGTTTCCTAATCTCTTCTTATAAGGACACCAGTCATATTGGATTAGGGCCCAACCTAATGACCTCATTTTACCTTAACCACCTCTTTAAAGACCCCATCTCCAAATACAGTCACATTACGAGGTCCTGGGGTTAGGGCTTCAACATAGGGACTTGACAGGAACACGCACAATTCAGCACACAAACCCCCTCCATAGCCAGTTCCCACACTGTTTTGTGCTGGGAATAGCTCAGTCCTCGACCCCACTGTGCAGGTAAGGGAACTAGGCTCCAGGAGGAGGTGTGACTGGCTGAAGGTCTAGTAAAGGGCCGCCCCAGTTCCAGCCCAAAGGCTCATGCTCTTGCCTGGGCCCAGCTGTGGCACAGCAGAGTCCCTCGTGTACATGGGATGGGTGGCCTCCTGGCACCCTCAGTGGTGTCCCTGCCTCCTCCCAGGTTCGGAAGGCCACAAGACACTGCGAATCCTGTACGAGGAGGTCGACGAGTCGGAGGTGGAGGTCATTCACGTGCCCTCTCCTGCGCTAGAAGAAAGGAAGACAGACTCATACCGGTACCCCCGGACAGGTGAGTGCCGGGACAGGGGGCTGGCTGGGCAGTGGTCTGAGTCCTCATAGAGCAAGGTGAGGCTCCAGCTAGGATGGGCCCACAGGACTCGGGAGCAGGCCGGGCTCAGGAACAGCCGCAGGGCCAGCACCGCCTCGGGGCCCTGGAGACAGAAGGAGCTCGGGGAGATTGTGACGGGGTGTGGGCCCCAACCTAGGACGCATCAGACACTCACCACCTGTGAGGGTACAGACTCGAGTTTGCCTGTTTCTCAAGAGAAACTGTAAATCCAGACTCATTTGAGAAATTATCCAATTCTTTTTTTAAAAATATTTTTACTGATTTCAGAGAGAAGAGGGAGAAGGAAAGAGAGAGAAACATCAACGATGAGAGAAAATCATCAATCAGCTGCCTCCTGCACACCTGAGAATTGAGCCTGAAACCTGGGCTTGTACCCTGACCAGGAATCAAACCATGACCTCCTGATTCATAGGTCTATGCTCAACCATTGAGCAACACTGGCTGGGCAGAAAACCCCCCATTCTTAAATGTTGCTCGAATTATTTAAAAACACTTAGAAAGCCCGCCGGGCGTGGCTCAGTGGTTGAGCATCAACCTCTGAACCAGGAAGTCACAGTTTAATTCCCAGTCAGGGCATATGCTTGGGTTGCAGGTTTGATCCCTGGTGAGGGGTGTGCAGGAGGCAGCCAATCAATGATTCTCTCTCATCATTGATGTTTCTATCTCTCTGTCACTTTCCCTTCCTCTCAAAATTAGTAAAAATATATTTTAAAAAGATAAAAATAAAAATACCTGGTAAGCCAAACGAAGTATATGGCGGGCCAGGTTCAGGTTCAGCCTGCAGGCCTCTTGTTTGCCGCCTCCATGGAGGCAAATAAAAGAGTTGTTCTCGCTGACCTGTAGCGAGCAGCACCTCCTGTTCGCCATGCTGGCAGAGCCTCCTAGAGCCGTGGTTGGCACACTGCGGCTCGCGAGCCACATGTGGCTCTTTGGCCCCTTGAGTGTGGCTCTTCCTAAGCCTTAGGAGTACCCTAATTAAGTTAATAACAATGTACCTACCTATATAGTTTAAGTTTAAAAAATTTGGCTCTCAAAAGAAATTTTCAGTCTTCGTACTGTTGATATTTGGCTTTGTTGACTAATGAATTTGCTGACCACTGCCCTAGAGGATATTTTCAGTCCCCAATGCAAATGGGAAAAGTCAGTCTCCTCCCTCCCCAGTTGACAAATGAGAGCACGGAGGCCAGATTTCAAACTCTCCAAAGGCAGCAGGTGTCTTCCTCGTGTATGTTCCACCATGACCTCCCCATCAGCTAGAGGTTGTACATCACTCTGTCTGGAATGAGGTCCTGGCTCAGTCAGAAAGTCCTGCTCAGGGATTTTGTGCCTGGACCAGAGAGGGAGAGACCTTTGGACACCCTTCCTCCCCTGCCCCCCATGCCCACTGTGTCACCTTTCTGTGTCCCCCTGCACCCCCCAGCCCAACACCTGCTCTCACCCCACATGGGCGACACCTGCCAGGCTCACCTCACTTTCATTTCTGTAGGTAGCAAGAATCCAAAGATCGCCTTGAAGCTGGCTGAGTTTCAGACTGACAGTCAAGGCAAGGTAAGAGGGCCAGGAGCCCCGAGAAGCTTCTGGGTGAGAAGAGGGGTCAGGGTATGTGTTTTGAGCTGGGTAGGTAGTTGGGCAGCATCAGCAGGCTGCCCGCCCCCTTCCCGCGGCAGGTGCTCCTCTCAGCCAACAGAATGCAAAACAACACCGCCCAGAGCTCTGCTGCCAGGGTGGGCCCTGCTGCCCCCATCACTCTGCACCTCACTCTGAAATGACAAGAGGCCCTCGTCACTTAGGGCCTAGTCAGGAGGGCCAGAGTGGCTGTGACTGAGAAGGGCCGTGGGGGACGAGGATGTCAGAGGTCAGAGTTCAGACAAGCTGAGAAAGCCCTTGCATATTTTTGCCAAAATGCATTCTTGTGTAATGTTTCAGAAGAAAGCGTATGATAAACTACACTGACTTTTGTAATTGAGGAGTCAGTTTTTGTTCTGGGCAAAATTCGGCCCTAACCAGACCCCTTCTCCACTCTTGACCAGAGTATTCGTGCAGATTTAACACAGATCAGCTCTAAGTGGCTTTGTTTTAAACAGTCCCTGGCTCTGCCGGACAAACAGGGTCCTGCAGTGGTATGGGTTATACCAACTGAACAGGCAGTTGGGGATGTTAGGGCGGTGCCCGCTGGGGTGTGGGGCATGCTGAGGCCCTGCCTGCCTTTTCCTCCTGGGGAAATGCCATGCCAGCCCCATTTAGGCTCCAGGAAACTGGCATCCAAAGACTATCTTGCCCAAGGCCACCTGGCTTTGCAGTGCCAGTCCACACCAGAACCCTGCGTTTCCAGCCAATGGGCTGTCATAATACAGTCCCACAGACTGGGCAGCTTAAACAGTAGTTTATTGTCTCACAGTTATGGAGGCTAAAAGTCTGAAATCAAGGTGTCGGCAGGGCTGGTTTCTCCTGAGGCCATGAGAAAGGACCTGTTCCAGGCCTCTCTCCTTGCCTTGTAGATGGTCGCCTTCTCCTTGTGTCTCATCACAAGACCCTCTACCCATGTGATACCTGTGTCCACACTTCCAACACGAGTCCTGTTGGATTGGGCCACCCTACCTGTATGACCCCATCTTAATTAATTACATCTGTAGCCACTTTATTTCCCAATAAGGCCCCATTCTGAGGTTCTAGGGGTGAGCACTTCAACGTGTGGATTTGAGGGGGGACACAGTGTGCCCCTAACAGTGACTGTCTACTCCTGGGTAGCATGTAATGTGACCCGAGTCTGTTTTCCCTTCAGATCGTCTCTACCCAAGAGAAGGAGCTGGTGCAGCCATTCAGCATGCTCTTCCCCAAGGCGGAATACATCGCCCGGGCCGGGTGGACCCGAGACGGCAAATAGTGAGTCTCTGTCTGACAGCATCTAAGTCATTTATATTCAGGACCTGGGTGGGCCACTCCTCTCTACCCCCCAGCTCCACCCCTATCGTAAGAATCACGGAATCACCAAATAGAAGGAGTCCCGTTTCACTCACTTTTTAGCCCTTCTGCTCACATCAGAGACAAACATCTCTAACGGGTCCTAAAGCATGGCCCGGAGGCTCAGTCCTCACCACCCATCTTTTTTTGTGAGGCCCAGGAGCCAAGAATGGTTTTTACGATTTTAAATGATTTGGGGGTTGGGGGATCATACATGAAAGTGATATAAAACCCACAATTCAGTGTGTGTAAATAAAGTTTTATCGGCACAGGGCCACACCCATTCATCTACAGCTTATCTGTGGTTGCTTTCACATTACAAGGGCAGGGTTGAGTAGTTGTGAAGGACACGTGTGGCCCACAGAATTGAAATACTGACTCGCTGGCCCCTTTACACAAAGGGTGTGCATCCCCTGCTCCAAACACTTGCCAGACTCCCTTCGTAACAGAAACAGCGAGACTCAGGCCATGGGCTCTGCTGGAACCTCCCATCCCTATGATGTTGCTCTTTATATATATATATATGTTTTTTAAATTTTTTTATTTTATTGATTTCAGAGAGGAAGGGAGAGGGGAAGAGAGATAGAAACATCAATGATGAAAAAAAAATCATTGATCAGCTGCCTCCTGCATGCCCCACACGAGGAATCGAGCCTACAACCTGGGCATGTGCCCTGACCAGGAATCAAACTGTGACCTCCTGGTTCAACCACTGAGCCATGCCGGCTGGGCTGAAATTGCACTTTAATTTGGTTTTAGTTGCTTCCTGTTTATTTTGAGACGCTGCTTTTCCACTTACAATACTGATAGGTCCCCATTTAAAACACGTTTAAGTTAAAAATTGTCAGGTTTCAGCAAAGTATGAAATCAAGGATGGTGTGTGTAGGTGAGGATTTGGCTGAAATTGTGGCTTTCTCAAAACTGCTCTATGATTTCATGATGTCAGCCGTTTCCAGAAGTCAGGTTGTGGAGTTCTGTCAGCCCCCCTGAGCATGCATTCCAGCCAGGAAACTGTGTGTCATGGGGTTACTTGGTCAGGTATCGGTGAAGTTGACAAAAGAGGGTTTTAGTCACCAGTTTCTGGCTGCTGGCCCCTGAGGCCTCTGGCTTCTCTTTCGCCCTCTCAGCGCCTGGGCCATGCTCCTGGATCGGCCCCAGCAGCAGCTCCAGCTCGTCCTCCTGCCCCCAGCCCTGTTCATCCCCATCACCGAGGATGAGGAGCAGCGGGAGGCCTTCGCCAGAGCCGTGCCCAGTAACGTCCAGCCATACGTGGTGTACGAGGAGATCACCAGCGTGTGGATCAATGTAAGGGTGGGGAAGTGAGCTCAGGCAGGCCTGCCCCTGGTCAGGGAGGGAGAGTCCACGGGGGCTGGGTTTGGCCTCCCCTTCCTCAGCAGGGCGTGCCTTACCTGACGTGTCTTCCCTCTTCTGCCCGGACAGGTTCATGACATCTTCTATCCCTTCCCCCAATCAGAGGGTGAGGACGAGCTCTGCTTCATCCGCGCCAACGAAAGCAAGACCGGCTTCTGCCACTTGTACAAGGTCACCACCGTGTTACAGCCTAATGGCTACGACTGGAGCGAGCCCTTCAGCCCCGGGGAAGGTGAGCACAGCCTGACTAACGCCATTGCTCATCCAACTGCCGTCTGAGGTTCCATGTGCTGTTTGTTCACTGTTCCCACCCTCTGACTCAGCCGCCCACAGGAAAGAAGTCATTCACACCTGGCAGGGGTTACCATAGCTGCCTATTCATTCATTCAATCAACAGGAGTTATTGAGCACCTGCCAGGTGCCAGGCCTGTCTTACACCAGGGGTCGGCAAACTAGCTCAGTGATGGCGAACCTTTTGAGCTCGGCGTGTCAGCATTTTGAAAAACCCTAACTTAACTCTGGTGCCGTGTCACATATAGAAACTTTTTGATATTTGCAACCATAGAAAAACAAAGACTTATATTTTTGATATTTATTTTATATATTTAAATGCCATTTAACAAAGAAAAATCAACCAAAAAAATGAGTTCGCGTGTCACCTCTGACGCGTGTCATAGGTTCGCCATCACTGTCCTATAGTATAGCTGCAAGTCAGTCCCAGACCATCTGCCTGTTTCTGTAACACATGGTCACGCCAGTCACTTATATGTCCTCTGTGGCTGTTTTTGTGCCCCGGTGGCTGTTTTTGAGTAGTAATCCAAAAACTATGAAAGATGCTGTCCTGGGAGTGATGAGCATGAGGGGCTTTCTAGAACTCGTGGTTAGGAGAACGTCTCTGGATAATGTGCCATGGAGCAGGGACCTGGAGGATGTGGTAAAAATGGCGGAGGCAGCTACACAGAGCTCTAGGCCTCACGAACAGCCCATGCAAAGGTCCTGGGGCAGGACCAGGTCTGCATGTTAACGGAACAGCAAGGAAGCCTGTGTGACTGGAGCAGAGTGAGGGGAGAGAGGGAGCAGGTGAGGGCAGGGGGATGGGGCAG